TTCTCGCAGAGGTCCTCGTGCAGCTTCGTCTGCAACGCGAGATCGCGGGCGCTCAGAGCCAGGCGTGTGCGGGCGGGAGCTGCCCAACCACTCAGCACTGCCGCCTCCTGCCTCCTGCCTCCCGCCAGAAGCATCCTGTGAAACCGCCCCCGGCAAACAGCTTCTTCCCGTCACCAGGGCTTTCCTCGTCCCTGACGCTAGAGCACAATGTGGGAGGCGTCCGTCCGAGAAGCCACGGGAACGACACTCCTGGCTGAGCTCACAGCAGCACGACTCAAACATGACCCCACGACGTTCCCCTGAACGCCAGCTCCGCGCTGGACGCCTGGCCCTGCCTCTGCCCCTCCCAGGGCAGGACTCCTGACCCGCGGGAGCCTCCGGAAGCCGCCTGTCCCCGGCCACCCCAGGGCCTCCTCACGTCAGAGACGCGCCTGCTATTTTAAAAGAGGGGCACGCGGCACGGAGGCAACCCATCAGGACGTTTGTCTCGCTAAACCCTAAACAAACAGCACGACTGGCGTGGGAATGTGCTGGTGAGAGCTGCTGACTCTGACACCACCTTATGTGGAACTGAGTGTGATTCATTACGGAAACCAGACACTCCAGCAACTCGGGAACTGGAGGAACACTCCGGCCCCAGGGCAACAAGGCCGCCCGCAGAAGCAGCCTCCACCCGGCTCCGCCAGGCACAATGGTTGTGTGTGTGTGTGAGGCGCCCTCGATGTGCCCAGCACACTCGGCTGCCCACGGCCCACACGCTGCTCACCAATATCCAGGGCAGGGCCGCTGCGTTCCCATTTCCCAGGAGAGGAAACTGAGGCACGCAGAGGTGGTGTCTCCTCGCCCCCACCCCCCGCTGGCCGCCTGCACCCACCTGAGAGGTGAGGAAGCGCTTGAGTGCGTTGCCAGTCTGCAGGTCCATGCCCCTCACGACAGCCCCCACGAGGAACGGCCGCACGCCCTTGACCTCGGGGCCGGCCGTGATGGTCAGTGGGGCCGGGTTCTCTGAGACGTGCAGCACTCGGAGCAGCAGCCGGCTGGCCTCGGCCACCTCCTCCTCCTCGCCCTCCCTCTTCCTCCGCTCCCTCCTCTGGCGCCGGCTCTCCTCCTTCTCGGGGTCGGCCCTGCCCTTGGCCCTGCCGCGGCCCCCCGCCCGCAGGTACTCCAGGATGGACTTGGTCTGGCAGCTGCCCAGCATCTTCTCCAGGCGCCTGTCCTTCAGCTGGTTCCCGTGGAGGTTGAGCTCCCTGAGCTTGGGGCAGTCGGCCAGCTCCGCGGGGACCTCGCTCAGCTGGTTGTTGGCGAGGTCCAGCGTCTGCAGGGCAGAGAGCGCGTCAGGCACGGAGCACCCCACGCGCAGGCGACGCGGCCAGGGGTCTCCATGAAACACCTGCTCTGACCCTCAGGCTCCTCGGGTCCCAGCTACAGCAACGTTTCAGGTGGACGGTTAGTGAGAGGACAAGGCAGCAAGGGGCAGGGGAACGCGAAATCTGACACGTGGTGCTTCAGGGGACAACATGCCCCGCACAATGGCGCTGACGGATCTCTCCCCACTGACACGCAGCGCAGGACGCACTCACATCCGCGGGCACGGGGAACAGGGCTGACACTGCAGGGCCGCTGTCTGCCCGTAGAGCAGGGGCAGATCCTGCCCTCAAAACAGGAATCAAACAAAGAAACGGGTCGAGGAAGCCAGACCGATCTTCAGTTCCCGCGGAGGGGCCTCCGCTGGTCACCCTGCCACAGGCTGTCCCCACGTGGACGCCAGGCCTTTCTCCACTCAGGCTGGACTGGACCGGGTGGGGCAAGGCGGTCTCTGGCCCCAGGTGACCTG